GAAAGAGTAAGCTCCCTTTTGTTTTTCAGGGTGCCTTAACGGCAGAGGCCAAGCCCAGACCGAGGATGGGTGTGTGGACAAGGCCCTGCTGCAGAAGATGAAAGGCATCTACACTGACATCCCCGTGCGGCTCCCGGAGACCAGTTCCCATGTGCAGGAGCTGTACCAGGAGTGGCTGGATGGCACCGACTCCCCCAGAGTCCAGGAAGCCCTGCATACTGCGTACCAGGGCCCAGGGCATCCTGCTAACAGCCGAGACATCAAGTGGTGAAGGTCGAGGAGGCTGGGAGGCAGGCCTGTCTGCTGCCTGAGGATGGAGGAGCTGCCACGTGTGGGTATCAGAGACACTGGAAGAAAACAGCTCAGCTTTTCTCTTACTACTTTGGTTTTTCAGAATTCTTTGCTACCCCCATTTGTCAGCAGCCCCCTCCCTCAGTTCGATGAGGTGCTATCTTCGTAATACGTATGTGATTGGAATATTTTAACTTAAGAGAAGGGTGCCCCAATTTGAGTTTCCTTTAAGACTGAAAAATCCCAAAGAACAAGAATGGAGTCAGAGTACTGTCTTCTGGGCTTAGTGAAAATCCAGAAAGTGTCCTGTGAACGGCTAAGACCCCAGAAGTTCTGATTCACATGCCTCAGAGAGATTTGATGTGGAAATGACAGGAAGCGGGCAGGCTGTGGGGGTCTATGGTCTGCCCAGTTGGCTCCTATTTTTATCCACTTATTTTATTCTTAAAGATGTTTTTGCCAGAATGTGAATAAACTGCATCCTTTAGGAATCAGGGGGCTCATAAATATGAATCTGGATTTTCAGCTTTTCTGGAGAAAAAGTTCTGGCAACAGTGGGCCATGTTCCTCACTGCTGTGGTGTCCAGAGTGCAGTTACAGCCGTCTCCTGGGACCAGACCCTCTAACTGTGGCCCTGCAGGCTCTGGCAACTTATGTCCCAAATTCACGCTTTCACATTCAGTCTTTAAGTGAACTCACCTTGAGGCAGAGGGAGGCCTGCGAAGGGTGATGGGTGTTACAGATGGAAGGATGGAGAGGCAGCTGCCCTGCTCAGGCTAGGCTGTGTGGTCGGCAGTCAGCCTCCTCCATCCTTCCCTGGGTGGGGTCAGGCAGGTGACGGCCCTTCTGACCCTGAACTTGGGTGAGGCAGCTTCCTGATGGTCCAGCCTCTCCTCATTCTCCTCCCCGGTGTCCTTACCACACACCGTGGGCCTGGCTCGTCCACGAGGCTCGGTGAAGCCTCCGTGGCTCCTGACGGGACTCCCCCACCTGGCATGTAGTGCTCATGTGAGCTCACCTTAAAGAAAGGTGGAAGAGAGCAGTTTACCCACAAACAAAGGGCTAGCAAAGAATTGGAAATTATGGAATCATGGAACTCCATGTCAGGGCTCATCCTGTGAAACAAAGACGTCTGTGGATAGGCCTCCAGTTGGTTGTTCAAAGCACTTGAATTTTGTTATCGTGGGTGGCGACGTTCTTGGATCCCTCAGTGCTGTAAAGCCTGAGCTGTTAGATTTCCTTCATCTACTCTATGTTGTATTGTACCTGTATACCTATCTGGGTTGACAACTGGATATAATGTGTGAAATTGTATATTTTTTGCTTTCAGCCTGTATACAATTGAGTTTCTGTCCTCTACAGTAACTGATTATGGAATAAACACTTGAAGAGTGTCTGAGTGTGGAGAGAGCGTGAACCAGATGCTGACTCCCCAGCCAGGGGCCTGCGTGTGCCCTCCCTCACCAGCCCCACCCAGGCAACTCCCTCGTGCTTTGGGAGCCAGCACCACCCTGGAGCAGGGGAGCATCTTTGCCCGAAGCCCTCCGTGGGCCAGGGATGCCGGGAGTCCAGTGGGGCTGCTCTTCTTGCTTCGAAAGCCACCTCTTCCAGCTACAACAAAAACACCCCCCGCAGGCTGGGGGACGGGGCGTTCGCACATGCGGAGTCAGGTCCTACCCACAGCTGACCTTTGGTTACAGCCTCATGAGAGGAAAGTGGAATGAGGATTGGTTTTACTTCATTATAACTCAAGTGATATGAGCAGTCACAGTGAGGGGTGGCGCCATGATCGGGCAGGGGGTGTCTGCTAGTGAGCAGTGCTATCCTGGGATGAGGAGGGGAACAGAATAGGTCCAGATTCATGTCACACCCAGCAGCTGCCCTACAGGAGTGCTGTTGTCTGAATCCTGGTGCCACCGATACCTCCAGTGGTCCGTGATCATGTCCTGTAGGTGTGTGTATGTCGGTCATCCTGGTGAATAGCTGTTCTCTAGTGCCCTTGCTCTGGACCATATCCAAGCCCAGATTTCTCAATTCCATTTCCTCCAGGCCTGTCAGCTTGTCCAGTTGCAGCCACTGTAGATACTGGTGCTTCCTCCTCAGCTTTGCTGGAGTAAGGATTGGAGTTCATGCACCGCCCACACATCAGTTTGATGCTGGCCTAGGGTGTGAGGCAAGGGCACTGCCTGTTATAGGCTCTTAAGTTCTGCCACTGACTTAAAGGGAAGCCCAAGCCTGGCTTTTTAACTGAGAAAAAGTGTCTTCTTTTCCGTGTCCCTGTAAAAAATGTTCCACGTTAGTTTTACATGGATGTTTCCAAAAGCTTGATGAAAGAACTCAAGCACAGCGTTCTAAGAGTGAAGGGTAGTTACATTCAATGAGTCATGCAAATAGTGAATTGTATGAGACATAAAGCCCTAGCATTTCTAAGGCTACATTGAAGCTGCCAAAAGCCTAGATTTCTTCAAGGGAAAACTGTCTTTCTTACCGTCTCCTTGTAAAGACTTCCTCTTAAATTAAATCTATAGGGCTTCCCTGGTGGCGCAGTGGTTGAGAGTCCGCCTGCTGATGCAGGGGACACGGGTTCGTGCCCCGGTCCGGGAGGATCCCGCATGCCGCGGAGTGGTTGGGCCTGTGAGCCGTGGCCGCTGCCTGCATGTCCGGAGCCTGTGCTCTGCAACGGGAGAGGCCACAACAGTAAGAGGCCCACGTATAGCCCGCGGAGTGGTTGGGCCTGTGAGCCGTGGCCGCTGCCTGCATGTCCGGAGCCTGTGCTCTGCAATGGGAGAGGCCACAACAGTAAGAGGCCCACGTATAGCAAAAAAAAAAAAAAAAATTAAATTTATATAGACTTTTCTTACAAGCTTCATGAAAACTTTTAGGCACAATGTTCTTTGAGTGAAAGGTAATTATTTTCAAGCCGTACGTTTTAAAGACAAGGAGAGCAGGTATCGGAACAGAAGCCTGATTTTTAAATTGAAATCAAATTGCACGTATACATGCACGTGTGCACACATGTATATGTGTACGTGCACCTGTGTGCATATATACACATGCATAACTGTGCACATACCCATGCATACACACAGGACATATGCATGCACACATACATACAGGTGTGTGTGTATGTGCATGTGTACACATACGCTGACGTGTGTACATATGTGTGTGCGCATACACATATACATGCACGCGCACATATGTGTACACAGACATGCACATGTAAGCATATAAGCACATATACATGTATACACATACACACATAAGCATATACTTGGGCACACGACCTATGAACTACTGGTATCAATGAGAAGAGCAGGTGCACTTTTGGGCAGTGTCACTCTCAAGAGCCTTTCCTATGACAGTAGCCGCTCAGGGGCCCAATGGGCAGTACCTGAATGGACCCTTTTCTGCATTTGCATGAAGAGTAAACAGTCCGCACTGAAAGCTCATAAGTGGAGAAGATTAAGTAACTGTCTGTCCTGACATGGGATTCTAGAGGTTAAATATGCATGATGGGACATCTCGGAACTAGCGTATGAGCCCCTTTGGTCTCCTTTTTTAATTTTATTTTTTATTTTAATTTTTTTTGTCTGCGCTGTGCGGCTTGTGGGATCCTAGTTCCCTGACCAAAGAATCAAACCAGGGCTCTCGCCAGTGAAAGCTTGCAGTCCCAACCACTGGACCGCCAGGGAATTCCCCTAGTCTCCTTTTTTTAAAGCCAAACTGGGGGGCAGGATGGGAGGAAGGACATTAAAAAGAACACAGAGATCAGGAAATCCCTAACGTGGCTCCCTCTGGGGTGGGAGGGAGGGGAACATTGGTGATCAGGTGGACTGCCAGGGTCTCAGAGTTACCACCTATCCTGTGCCAGACTATGTCCCTGTGTTCCACTGCTCGGGACACAAGAGAGGGAGACAAAATGATCCCAGGCAAAGCAGGTTCTACCGAGATTTGAACTTGAATCTCTGGATTCAAAGTCCAGAGAGCTAACCATTATGCCTTAGAACCATATGCCACTGTGCCCCTTTGCTGGCCACCCTTGGTCTAAGTGCGCCTGGGAAGGGACAAAAAGTGTCCACAGGTCCCACTGAGATTTCAACTCAGAACCCTGGACTCAGAGTCCAGGGTGCTAACCGTTACATCATAGAACTAGCTGCCACCCCTAGACACCAGGGTCCACAGGCGGACATTGCCCCACAGCTGGGGACCCGAAAGCCAGATATAGCAGGCAAAAATGTAAGCTCATAGCAGAGGATGGTTTCGATCCATCGACCTCTGGGTTATGGGCCCAGCACGCTCCCGCTGCGCCACTCTGCTGCAATGTCATTCTTGCTGAGCCTGCCTGTAACAAGCCCTACAGCCTCCCTGGGGTTCAGCCCAGAAGACAAAAGAAGAGGGGGGAGGGCGTCTCCTGCAAGTGCCCTTTGAAGAATAATGTGGATTTTTGCTCTCCCTCCCTCAACAACTTACCCAGAGAAATCTCTGAATTCACGTCCTTTTCTGCTGTTTAAAAAAAGTCAAGAAACACAACCTTCAGCCCAGTGTGTCTTTGGACAATGATGGCAGGTTCTGTATTGCAGCGATGCTGGTTGGATTTCGGTAAAGAACAAAAGCAACGTTTCTCCCCATCATTTGAAAAAGACTCCTAATTTGTCCCAATTATCAATAAACTATCCTTTTAATTCGGCTTCTTCTCTTGACCTACTTCTTCCCCATGGCCAAGGAAGCTGTTTTTTCCATACAAAACTGCTTAAAATTAAAGTGTTATGAAATCTTGCTGTTCAGCTTTATAATTTGAAGAAAAACATTAAAAATAACTTTGCATTTCAAAGAGGTAGAAACTATTCCCCCAAGAACATTCTGGAAATAAATCCTTTGGGGGGAAAACATCGCTGAATTTGTGCTGAACCTTTTCATGTAAAAAGTGTCCATGAAACTTGCCGTTGCAGATAGTAGGGTGTCTCCTCTCTCAAGCCA